TAGATGAAGGGTTACGCAAGATCAGGAATCGATTGAAAGTAGGCATTAACACCATTGGATACCGGCTCAGCGCTCTAGAGGTCAAACGTTCGCACACTAAACCGAAGTTCATGGGTTCGGGTCCCACGTGCAAGTCCGTGGATGCGCACTACCGAGGAATTTCATACTGAGACGAAACAACCCTCCAGGTTTTACTGGTGATTTAGCTTAGATCGACTCATGAATTCAACTACAAAAATTACTACAATTTCCACAAATGCCCATTCTAGTAATTTTAAAAATCACAACCACTCAATGAGAGTTGGGAAAATCTATTTTTAATTTAAGCTTTAGTGATCTACATATAACTTATCAATATGAATACATTAAACATTATATAACTATTTGGTCATAAGATGAAGATAACTTTTCATCATTAGTTCTGACCATTATGGCCTTCATGTATTTAACACATATTGAATATTCTTTGAGCGTTTATTAGATTAACGTTATGATATCATGTTGTAAGTTGATATTGTTTATTGAATTCATATATTTAACCATTAAAATGTACTTTTTGCTTGTATACTGGTGATTCAATACGTACAAAACCATTTAAGGGAAAAAATAATAACATTTAATTATTTAGTATAAATAAGGATATTTTAAAGTTAATTCTGTTTCTTTTTACTATATTCTTAAAAATTTTGACTTAACTAACTATATATGATTCTTGAGGTTAAGTTGAAGCAATGAATTTCACAAACATTTTGAACATTCAGTCGATTTATTTATTTGAACACATAAATATCGGTACAAGAGGGCACCAAATATATATGCGCTACACTATATAAAGTGGGAATAAAAGAAAGTGAGTAAATGATGTAGTAAATAATAATAATAATAATAACTTGAATCGTTTGATTGTTAATCGAAGCAAGTATAGTATTTTCCGTAAGTATTGTCATTTCATTCTGTTTGTGTGTGGACTGTGATACTGCACGGGTGCCCAGACCGAAGCAGGTGGTTTTCATAGGGGGCCACACCCGAGCCGTTGATCTAAAGATCTGGCCCACAAGGTAGTGGAGTATCATGAGGAGATGCAGTCTCATGGTAGTCGGTGACCAATGACTGGTCCATACGCCATTTATTCCCTCAGGATACTGGAGCCCATGTGCACCATTGATTTGGTTTGGGATCCGGTTAAAGCGCCGGACATTCGCTTTTCGTCCTCTCATTTTCATAAACGACACCCCCACCACGAGAATGCAGTGAGTAGGACTTCTCTGGCAGAGGCTGTATATGCGTGGCCGTGAGAGAGCATTTCGAGAGGGAGGGCGGGCCCACCCCACTATCGGCCATACCAGTCGATGATAGCTGATAATTATGTGGACAAAAATAACGAATGTGTGGGTATCTTTGCGAAAACACTGAAATTATCATAGTTTAGGTATGGAAAAAAAGAAAACAACCAACTACAAAAATGGATTTGTCAAACGCTGAGTTATTCATAATCTTAATGATTGTATTTTAGCATACATAATTAATATCCTTACTGCGAGCTTACCTCAACTTGACTGAAGATTTTGTTCAAATGGTGTAATAAGTAAAAGTCACAGTAAAGAATGAATCCTCAACTTTCTGATAATATTTAAAGGTAAGTAATTCTCTGTTAAACGCAATTTTCTTATGATTAATTTATGGCAGTACAATGTTTTCCACTTTAAAGTCTTCATAATCACAACTCGGTTTTTAAATTTATATTAACTGTAGATGAGTCAATAAGTTGCAGACACCTAGATCGTCTCATTTCTCCAGGTATTTCCTAATTAATTTGTAGTTGCGAATATAATGTTGAATTCCATAGGGTACTTTAATAGAGTAATGCGTTATATCTGCTTGGAACGCTTATTAGAATCATAATATGATATTATGAATTAGTCAATCAGTCATGTGTAACAGAGATCCTGGTACATATATGCATTGGATCTGATTGTTATGACATATAAGCAACAAAATTATCAAGACAAATTCCAGAGTAGTAGGAGTAGTAACATTATTTTGGGGAACAAGATAAACACCGAAATTGTTTTCTTGCATTTTTTATTTACTTCATTATTAGAAATGAAACGAAGATTTAAGCGATTCTAATAGTAAATGTATACAATTAAAAACAGAGTTTGTCTACTACCTAATAAAAATTATCCACAACCTACCATTCATTTCTCTTTTCTTTTGAAACCAGTTTTACCTGTTAATATCATTAATCTATCTATTGTAGATGAATAATTTAGGCTACGTTGAGATCTATTTATTATAGAAAACAATTAAATAGATCTGTTTAAATGAACATAAAAGTGGTTAAATTCAATTAATTAATGAATTAAACAGATGCGAATTTGTAATTCACTTTAGAATGTATTGCATCAACTTTATACATACATGTTGAGCGCCAAAATAATTCACTCAAATTAATGAATTGATTAACTTAACTGTAAGATACCAAATGTTCTTTTTCTATTATAACAGTTAAAATAAATTAACTGTAGCTTAGTAAGTGATATATATAAACAAAGATGAAGTTTTAAAAGGTAATTAAGTGAACTACTTAGAAGATAAAGGTTAATCATTCATTGTATTTGTGTTGTAATTACTTCTTTATGAACCTTTAACAATTTTAAATCCTATCAATAAATGTAATAAAACTAAGTTCAAACTGTCTAATTTGTTAGAAAATTATTTGTTCTCTCTGTTATTTCAAATTTCTTTGTGATTTCAACAATAAACAAAAAGAATAAAGTATATCTATGCTGAATGGATTTCGACCTCACCGTCAAATTCATCAATGTCTTTAAATGTTATACGTAATATGAAAAATAAAATTTTAAGTAAATATTAAGAAATCAGAAGGGTTTTGTGGAGATTGTAGTAATTTCAATGGTTAAGATCTTGAGTCAGTTGGAGCTACACAACCATGGAAAAGCTGGAAGCACTGGACGGCCGTTTCGCCCTATTGTAGGACTCCTCAGCAGTGCGCATCCACGACCTCGACCCTTGAGAGATTCGAACCCAGGACCTACTGGTTTCGCGCTCGAGCACTTAACCACTGAGCCGGCATCCAACGGTGTTAATGTCTAACTTCAACTAATCCACGAAATTAAGAGGCACATCCACCATTTTCATCAGTGAGTTACTACCTCACAACTGACCCGGTTGAACTCCACTGGTCACTGCTTCTCACTAGAACTCCAGGATATATTTCTTGAAGTCAGTCACTAATGAGTATATGTTGATTAGTATCAGAAGAAATATGACATTGGTAAATGTTGAAAGTATCAAGTCATTTAATCAATTATTAAGCATTATAACTTCTGTAGTTTTCAATAAAAAGAAAACTTTTCTGTTGCATAAGTGAAAATTACAACAAAACCGTCTTTGAGTAACAAATGAATCCTTTTCCAACGTTGAGAACGAAATCAAGACAATTTAAAGAAGGAAGTTGTCTTTTACACAATGTCATTTATTAAAATTATACATTCATATGCATATCTAATTAGAATCCATATATCTATAACAGAATAGATAGATACTATATCATTTAAAGTGTGATCGAAAGTGTTTTTAGGTATCGAAATCATAAAATAAACCAAAGTGAAAATACATTATAGATGTAAGATTGTCCACTAGAAGAATAATACGATGTGAATGAGTCAAGAAAAGGAGATTGTACCTCATAAAATAAGAAGTGTGTTGTTGTTTTAAGATCAAGATAATCAACTTCGGTAATGTAACCTCTCCAAAAGCTCATTTTAAGATCATCCAAAAGGTTGCATAAATTGGCTCAAAAAGAATACACTCTATGAATGCGCGCACACCAGAAGCTCTAACAGTTCACCAGTTTATTTACTGAACTGTCTGAATGACCCTTCTTTGTTTCCGTGTAAACAGAGGATTTAATAGTCCAAGTTGACTGGTTGATAATGACTGGAAGTGATTCACTTTAAGAGCTACTAACTGAAATTAATCAATGAGTTCTGGTTGCTCAGAAAAAGACAATAGAGGTTACAACTCTATGACCTTTCAATATTACTCTCCTACACCGGCCTACGACTTAGGATTAATTCATTCCTTCTTTTCGTAACCAGGATTCTTTAAGTACCACGTATCTCAAACGAACAAATACTTAGACGTTCAGAACGGAAAACGAGTATCGTTAGCCGTAGTTATACTTGAGACAAAGTCAGTGGAAATTCTACATGAGAACTGAGCGTCACATCTTCCTTAACAACCTTTCCTTCAGTTATTGATACCATTTATTCATTACGCTGTTCTATACTGAATTTTATGGAAATCTTTCAAACATCAAGGTCAACGTGTTCTTTGGTTTGAATGTTCCGAAAATCAAAACATTGATATTGAATTTAATCTTCACTTCTTCTGTAAAAAAAAAATTGCCGTTGTTACTGTAGATTCAACTATGCTTGTACAGGACAGAAACGCCCTAAATACCTGATTCAGTTCGTGATTCAACTCGTCACTAACATTCTCAACATCGATCTGTCTATGAACAAGTTATCTTGCTGTGATTGTTTTAGTGTTCAACCTTTCGCACGCACACACAAGATTGGAAAGGATAATGGAGAGGGTCCAAATATTTGCTCCCAAATGAAACTGATGATGATATGGCTTGTTTGTATTTACTAATAAGATAGTATGATTGTCCTTAAGTCTAACAGTATCTTTTTATATCTAATTTCAGTACTGATTACATTGAACCAATTGTCAGGAAAACTTACCCGAGAAACATTCTATTTTAATTAACATTACAAATTGTAATTCCAAATAATTTTACTTCTATGTATTACTTCTCAATGAACAAATTTTTTTTAAAACAAAGTAAACTTTAATCTATTAGATACAAAATAGACTTACAAATGTACAATATCAATATAAATATGTACAATATTCAAATTTAATTTAAAGAAGAAAAAAAAGACATTTTATCAAAATGTAAAAAATACTTAACAAAGTTCTTTAGCTAATTGACAACATTCATTCGTTGATATATGTTCAGTAATAGCTATTGCATTGGCTAATATCATTATTTCTCTAGCAGAACCAGCTGTTAACCATATTCGTCCATTTGCACCTAAGAATATTTCAAAAGGATACACCTAAGTAAATTACAAGAAAAAGAAAATTTAATAAGAAACTATGATGTCAGAATAAAGAAATACATAGGAATTAAAGTACAAATTATTGAATAATAACAAAATGTTATTTAACATAATACCAATTATCAGTACGAAAGTGAAAGAAAAACAATAACTGTACATATAATGTCAGTGAATCAGTTCATTAAGTAAGAGTTATTATTATTATTTATTATTTCAACACATAAATATTGGTACAAGAAAGCACCAAATATATATGCGCCACACCATATTTGTGTGTGTAGGCTGTGATACTGCACGGGTGCCCAGACCGAAGCAGGTGGTTTTCATAGGGGGCCACAACCCGAGCCGTTGATCTAAAGATCTGACCCACAAGGTAGTGGAGTATCATGAGGAGATGCAGTCTCATGGTAGCCGGTGACCAACGACTGGTCCATACACCATTTATTCCCACAGGATACTGGAGCCCATGTGCACCATTGATTCGGTTTGAGATCCGGTTAAAGCGCCGGACATTCGCTTTTCGTCCTCTCATTTTCATAAACGACACCCCGCCACGAGAATGCAGTGAGTAGGACTTCTCTGGCAGGGGCTGTATACGCGTGGCCGTGAGAGAGCATTTCAAGAGGGAAGGCGGGCCGACCCCGCTCTCGGCCATACCAGGGCATTTGGGGGCATTAAGTAAGAGTCCTCGCAATCATTAAATAAATTGGATATACTTAATGAGATATAAAAATAAGAAAGAGTTCACAAGAAATACACAATATTAACAAATATACAGAACGATGTGATTACAATAATCGATTATAATAAGCAGAAAGCTGGAGTTATTAGATACAGTTATATCAACAGTAATCAGTTATACGGCCAAATTATTGAACTTTATCACTGGTTCAAAGATTATTACGTAATACATTTGACTTTTCGCAAGTTTTATTCCTTTAAAGTATAGAAATTAAGTGATCGAAATGCATAATTATATTGATCTTGCATCTTCCAACCTCTAATCAAATGCAACTAGCTCAAAATGGAACATTGGAAAACAGTTCGACTAGTACACTAAAGAATACAGAATATATTTTATTTATACAAATTTATGAGTCCGATTTACTGTTTCAGAAACACTCTACAATTTCAATCAGAAAGTTTTTTGTATATATTAAATTGACATGGATAAAAAGCCCACTAAAATTTCAAAGTATCATATAATCCATCGTTTTACTTGGTACAAAGTGACTGTAACAAGTAATTAACCAATTCGATGAAAATAAAGACAAACCACGAAGTGTAACTGATTTTTATGTATTTAGCAAAGTTTGTTATCCACTCTAGAGGATAAGCAATTCCACTCCTGTTTTCTCAGTATCTCCACATTCGTATAATTCATTCATCGACTTGCAGTAATTAAATACTGAATCTGATTCATTCACATGTGCGCTCTTTGTTTTTCATTCAGACATGTCGAAAAGTTTCCATAGATCGTATATTAAAAATCAAAAATTTAAATCAAAGCAAACACTGTTTAGTAATTTTAGATTTGCCTTTATGAAACAAATTTTTGGTTTAAATATAAACTGTGTTATTAAATGTCAGAGGTTAGAATATTTATCTCCTTTAACCTCAAACAACTTTTACTCCTTTCTCTTGATATCACCAGTTGGATAATTATCTTTTTTTTCTTTTATTCTTGATGTCTGTCAATTATTATCCATTGATTCATACACGGATAAGTTTTTCAATACCGACCACAACATCCAAAACGGCTCGCCCAAATTGAATGCAAATAAGTAAGTCAGTTAGTTAGTAAACAACTTTATGCTACATTGCGCTGTTTGTGACAGTCAGTCAGTCAGCTACAACGTAGGACCAGGCACATATGTGCATCGGTCCAGGTTGCCATACCGCATCAGCACAACAAGATGAACACCGGATGCATAGCAGTGGTTAGGTCAAAGGTGGTAATATATAAGAGAAAGATTGCATATAGAAATATAGTACAAGAAGAAAGAATTGGTTCGTAAAAAGAAAGATATGAAGTGATTTTAATCTCTTAGTTTAAGGGAAGATAGATAGTGTATACACCGACGCCATTGTGATCGATTCTCAGCCATGTCACCAAGAGTCTCCAACCATTGGCTACGAAAGTCACGCGGACCCCAACCAAGTAGTCTGCATCTACCAACATGGCTCAGACTAGAAGTTAGTGACTTCAGGCACTGATGCCACGTTTTGGTTTGGCCACCCCTAACTTTCTTCAACCATCCCCTACGCTAGTCTCATTGCGCGTCGTGGTAATCGGTGTTCAGGCATACGTAACACGTGGTCCAACCATCTCAGTCGATGAAGATTCATAACCTCATCAACTGATTTACCATCATTCCCTAATACCCTGCGTCTAACCTCACTATTACTTACCCGGTGATCCCAGCAGATGCCAGCAATATTTCTAAGGCATCTGTGGTCAAATACTAGTAGCTTACGAGTGTCTTCTATGTTTGTGACAAATCTATAACAGTTATTTGTTGTAACGTATAGAGCACTTATAGAATTTCATTACATTTTATACTGTTCTCAAAAAGTTCCTTCTTTTAATCAACGCTTTTGGATGGCATAATTCTGACTTGCTAGCTAAAATGTGAATTTCCGTTTATTGGAACTACAGGTGTTGATATAAAGAATTCACTTGTTTCTAAGATATTCATAAGAACTATAAATAAAAATTATTATACACATTGAGTTTTTACCTTAGATAAAAGTTTTAATAGAGGAAATTCATCTTGATTGCCTAACCGCCTAACCAAATCTTGCGTACAGTGTAACAGTATACCACCAGACCGACCTCCAGCATTACCAACAGTTCCAGGTTCATGACGACCAAGGATACCCATTCCACAAGCTTTCCCCGCCTCATCAACACATGACAATTCAATCTCTAAATCTAAGAAAACAAAATCTCGTTATCAATACTAACAGTCGTTAAGACGTACAATATTGTTAATACAAAAAACACCTTATCGTGTATTCAGAAAAACTGACCACGTTAATCGACTTGAGATAACAGTTCCAACGGATTATGAATTTGTCAGAACTGATGGTATTAATGTAAAATGACAAGTTACAACAATATCTACTATAATACTTAAGAAAGAAAAGATACTGTCCGATTTCTAGATAACAATTCAAACTATATCAATATTTCTCATAAATAGGTGGAGTGAAAGGAGAAAACAGTGGTTATTTTCTGTAAATTTAGGTAAAACTAAATAAAATCAGTAATCAATGATGATGAAATTGTACGTATTCAGCTACTACGAAACAATTTATTCAAATGTACTAAGAGATGCTGTGTATTAAAATATTAAAGTATTATCACAGAAGAAACTAGATTTGATAACTTGTTTGGATTTTCAAACAAAACGTCCTTGCAATAAATGAAATGTTTCTAAACGTAATGTGCCGTGTATTAGTCAACCATTAACGTTCAAGGAGCGATATCGTTAGACTAATGCTTATTCTGACAATCTGCTTTATTCTTCATATTAATTGTTACAGTGATGCAAACAATTTAGAATAGCGATTATTACTTTTGCTTACAGTCTACTAGTCGTTAAAAACTAGGTTTGTTTCCATGAAAGAGGCTTACATTAGGAATAATGCTTGCTTACAGACGTGTTATTGCTCAAAAATGGGAATAATAAAGTTGACAAACAGAAAGTATATAAGTGATTACAGAATAAACTTACCTCTGTCGGCTCGTGTAATCATGGCATAAAGAACATCACCTGCATTAATGTCAGGACGATTCTTTTTAGAAGAACCTTCGAATGATAAGTAATTGAGAATAGCCGGAGAAGCACAACCTATATCAACTACAAACGATTCACCAGCTTTTTTCATTACAACGCCAATAACCTTGTCCTCTGGTTGAAACTGTCCCACATGACAACGGTATGAGAGACGAGTAAGTGGAAGTAGTGTAGTTACTGAACCATTAGACACAAGGCATTCTACCCAAATGAAATTTTCTGATCTCAAATCATTCAATGAATTTCCGAGTTTAAAACGCTTGATCGCATCCGTAGAGTCTGTTCCTTCCAACTTCTTACATTTGAATTTTAAGATTCCGAACTGTTAAGAGAATTTTAAAAAATGAGAAAATACATCAGCATATTCGAAAATAAATCGTTAGCAAACTTATATAATAATGGATGGAACTTAATCCGTATACTTTAATAACATAGTGCTGTAAAACAGTTTTGATAGTCGAAGTAAGCTATGAAATATAACTGAATATGGAAACTAAATAATGCTGAGTGGTATCTGTGTAAAGATTTACACCGCAACAAATCAGTTTTGTTTATTACACATCAAAAAGACCGAAAGATAAAACTACGAGGAACTCATCAATGAAGGATAAGACTAGCACACTGAACCATTTCATATGTTCATGTAAGCCAATAATGGCCATAGCAACAAGTTGAACGGTGAAATCTGGTTGTACAACACTACTTGGAACTAAAAACCATAAGACTGACCTGTCTTACTAAAATCGAATCCACCATTTTGTTTTTCCCCACTCCATGTTTCATTCTAGACATCGGCACACAGACAAGACCTGGACCAATAGACCATGATACAGGCCCATCATAAGGTCCAGATAATTCAAAAACCATTCCAGGCAAAACTAAACGATCCAAAAAATTTTGATAACTCGAGTCATTTGATGATGTCTGAAGTCGAGCCCCACGTATAATATTGTCAATGGATGCTAAATTCATTGGATTGGAGACAAATTTCTATCTATTGAATAAATTAAACACTATTATTAGAAAAAAAACATTTTTGTGATCTAAGACAGATTATTAAAGAGTATAAATGGTAGCAAATACTAAAGAAAACAAATGGATATTTATTTACATATGGGAGGGGAAGATACTAGTAGATTTATGTGTGAAAGTAGCTAAACTAGGCTACCAAACGTCCAATCGGATTTTGTTATTTTCTACTTAATACACAAAATTCGGCATAACCAGGCACCAAAAATAGTATGCGCCTGACAAAATAAATAAATAACATCATGGAGAAGTAAAAGAGGAAGGGAGTGTAGTTGGAAACAGAATAAGTGGACAAGATTAATGTATAGGGAAGGATAAAGTCCAGTTAAAAATACAAGAGAAATTTTTTTCACTTTCTCTCCATTTGAAAGAGAATTTCAAAGAAAACTAGAGCACGAATATTGTTATCTTCGGTCCTCGTCCATTTCTGTTAACGTTTCAAGCCACTGAGTCGCACCATTTTCGGAACCCCAGCCAAGAATTCGTGATTGACAAACGTATTTGTCTTATACAGTTTCCTCTCATACCACAGTTTCATGTCATATACTGACTACTTTGCCTTCGCCACCCAATGCTAAAACCTGCAAGTAATCCATAATTTAGAAGTCACAAGAATGATGCCGTGAGATATGTTTATGAAACCGAAGCCAGTGTTTAAAGATGGTAACATCAACTAACATTGACAAACACAATGAATATTGACTTGAAATAAGTGTAGCAGTAATCTAACATATAGTGGGATGTGGAGATATAATATACATATCCATAACTTAATCAAAGACCAGCCTGTTCTATATAATTCAGTCTTCCACGGGTTTAACAAAATCTGAAATATGACAGAATTCAAAAGTTTGGAAGCAGTCAGAAGTAAACTTATCCCCTTAGAGTGCATGCATGGATAATGCCTCTTAAAATTTGGGACGACGGCTGCTTTACTTCAGGATGTTGGAACAGTCTTTTCGTAACCTTTTCCACCTTTCTTAGAAACAAAGAGGGTAATTCGTAGAGCCCTATAATCTGGGTTGCTATGTGAACTTCCACCTCGTTGGGCAGATCAATCGTCACCAGCCATGGAGGATAGGACAGTCTGGGACAACTAACCAGCCAAAATATTATTCAAAAAACTACATCATACGAGACGCCTTAAGATGCTACCAACTGACATGCTATCAACATCACAGATAACTTTACCGAAACCAGACGTTTTGCTCCCAGTGGGTCGAATAAGCTGAAATAATTTTCACAAGTTGCTAGATGGAGACGCAGCTTCCAACCACCAAGTTTTATAGTTCATAGGCTAACTTGGGCGTACGTAAATTTGAAGATATGCTTCGATAAATGATACAGTCAACCAGTGACATTTATCCACTTAGCCTGAAAAGATTGTGTAGTAGAAAATTCCCACCTCAATTAGTAGATTAGATACTTCAGTTAGTCAGTATCAACGTAGAACTTCGTACGTACGTACATCAGTTCGAGTTGCCACACCACATTAGCACAGAGATGCAGTTGTCGATTCAAATTCTGTAGTGGTAGAGGTAATAAGAGTATAAGCAGTAATCGGGAAGATTAGGGTTTGGAGATGTTATTTAAAGAGTATAATCCAGTGAAATAAATTTGGAAAGAGGAAAAAAAGACATGAAGGATTCAGAAGATTAGAATTTGGAGGGACATAAAGAGTGGATGCACCTGCGCCATTGCAAACGATTTTGAGCCATGTCATTCAGGGTCTCTAACCATCGGTTGCTATCATCTCGCGGTCCCCAACCAGGTAGTCTACACCTACCAATATGACTCAGTCCACTTGTCAGTGACTTTATGGACTTGTGCCATGTTTTGGTCTGGCCGCCTCTAGCTTTCTTCCAACCTACTCCTATACCACTGAACATAGCACGTCGAGGTAGTCGGTCGTTGGGCATACGTAACACGTGTCCAAGCCATCTCAACTGATGAAGTTTCACTACGTCACCAATTGATTTGCCATCCTTACCTAGTACCCGTTTCCTAACAACTGCATTACGTACTCGATGGTCCCACGATATACGAGCAATGTTTCGAAGACACCTATGATCAAATACTAGTAACCTACGAATATCCTCTACTCTTACCGGCCATGTTTCACTGCCATAAAGTAGGACGGAACGAACTGCTGCACAGTAAACACGTCCTTTGGTTGATAGACGGATATCTCGCCTACGCCATAAATGACGCAAGTTGGCAAAAGCTAGTCGAGCCTTCTGTATCCGTGCTGAGATTTCGTCACACACCAGACCACAAGGGCTGATGAGACTTCCAAGATAAGTGAAGCGGTCGACACACTCAACTACTTCACTCCCTATCACTAGTTCGGGTGTCGATGTAACCCAATCCTGAAGCAACATTTTGCATTTCGAGGGGGAGAATCGCATCCCGAACATGCTTGCATTGTTGCTTAGAGTGGTCAGAAGACTCTGCATTTTGTCAGCGTCTTCACCAAATAAAACTATGTCATCAGCATATTCTAAGTCAACAAGTGAACCTCCGGTAGAAGTTCAACCCCTGGAAATCTAGACGAGGAAAGTGTTATCTCTAAAAGTACGTCGACGACAAAGTTGAACAAGAATGGAGAGAGTGGGCAGCCCTGATGAACACCACTTGAGGTAATCAATTCTGATGACAGTTCGCCATAAGCTCTCACTCTACCAGTTGTGTTCGAGTAGAGAGCCTTTATAAGGTTAATGTACTTCTTTGGTACTCCTCTCAGTGACAAACAGTGCCATAGAACCTTGCGATCAACAGAGTCGAATGCCGCCTTAAGGTCGAGAAATACTACCATTGTGGGGCGTCTGAACGTGTGTCTGTGTTCTAGAACCTGACGTAGTGTGAATATCTGATCTATACAACCACGTCCAGGTCGAAAACCAGCCTGACTTTCTCTAGTCTGTTCTTCACGAGCTTTGGTTAGGCGTCGAAGTATTATTGAAGCTCATATTTTAGACATTTGTCAAACTGATTCCTCTGTGATTGTCACAAGAGGACATATACGCACTCAGGATATATATAAAGCGTTTGCTATACTTGTCTATATTAAAAGAAGTAATCAGAACGAATGAAAATATCTGAGAGTAAACAAACAATGTATATGATAGGTAAGAATAAGTGATGGGCGATGGCATGCGGAGTGTCCTATTTCCTATTAACAGTTTCTACAGTTTCACAAACTCATGGGCTTTTAATTGGTTATCAACACAAATGTTACCTCATGGTTGGCAGTGGAAAATCCCTTATGTTACTTGTTTTTGTTAACGACAGACTTCCTTTCTATGTACTATTTTTATTCCACTCTATGATCTTGGTATCTAAGTGTGACGAGTTTATTTTAACGAATGAATCTTCAACTAAATATAGTCAATTCATGTTTTCATTTTGTTTTATTATCCATCTTGTTAAACAATGATAATTTGTCAAACTACTTAAAATTTGTTAGTAACTGCACTATCCTAACCAAAATACTGTTCGAGACTCTATATAGTCTTAAAATGGAGCTGTTTAAAAGTAACGTGTCTCTAATAAATATGGTGGTTTAAAATAATCAGGAATAATTATAGTTGAGTAAATACAGGTAAATTGGCCGTGGAAAAATGGGGTTGTAGTAGATTTCGTAGACATTGAGCTTTTTTTTACCAATATTCTAAACCATTTCAAATGAATGTTAACCATCATACTAGTATTTTAATACTTGTTGTTATTTTTAAATTTCATTTGCAAATAGTGAAAACTTAAAGACAATTCAGGTAGTTGTATGGGATATCATTATAGTGAGTGATATTTGGCTCGTTTGTTAGCGTTGAAATATTATTGATTATTTTGACTTGAGGAATTCTTGTTTTGATTGTTTCGACACCTTCATGGTCTCATAATCAAAACGCCAATCTAAATTGAACTTTGTAGCTGCAACTGGATAATGGACAGCAAAATCATAACCATATCAGTCTCATTTTCTACATTTCATACTACCACTAAACCAGTATATAAAAAACAGCTGCATCGGATCAAAAATGGTCATATCCCTATACCGATCAAGCAATTTTCTGGTGGTTTACGCCCAGTAATAATTATCTTACAGTCACTAACTTTGTTAAAACGTTGACGTTATTGGATACTAACCAACCACTTCGAAATAGTGGTGGAATTTATTCATCATGAGCGTTATTGTACTGGAGATAAGTATACATACTTTCATGATGGTATGATGGATATAATGACAATTGTCTGCTTATTAATGTACTTATTACAATATTCATACTCCTCATATGAAACGACTTGTTTTTTATCTATATCAAGCAGTAGTAGATTTTCTCCACTCATCAATATATCCACTGCATCTGTGGCCGGAAAAAATCCGGTTAAAAATTTCGGAAGTTAAATATTTGTAATTATCCCTTTAACTTCTACCCACAGCATGTGCGGATTTGAAATTGCACCTTATATTCTAATGGGAAGCTAACATTCAATGAATTTCATATCCACAACATAATTGTAGAATTTAAGTAACCGCTTTACCTTTGTTATCAGATTCCACCAAGTATCTAATCTCCTTCCACGGTGTGGGCAGCCGGGAAGTGATATCAACCCTCATACCCGTAACACACACGAGACCAAGTTGGTCACATTCAAATCCTTCCTACACCTCCTAATACCTCTCTTATCTCCATGACTAACCCTCCTCACGTCCCTTTATCACCTCGCACCGCTAGGGCAAACGATTCGAGTACATAGAACGCTATTCCTGGTCTCCTGAAACCACGCTCTAAATTACACGTAGGAGCTTTTAACGTACGAACACTTTGCCAAATAGGACAGCAGGCTTCCTTAGCTAGGACTTTAGAATCTCGCGCCATCGATGTGTGCTGCGTCTCCCAAACGCGCATACAGGACCCGAGTGGCGTCATTCATTTGACCTC